AAAAAAAAAAAAAAAGGTAGTTAAAGCCACAGATTCCTAGCACCCATTTCAGCACTAAAATTCCATGTTTCCACACTGATTCATGATTTAGTTATTATAAATGTTTAATGAACATTTATTACATATGTGGTCCTGTGACTCCTTGCCCTCAGGACACACAGAGCTTGGTTGAGACAGTTCAGTTAGATTAGAAACCAGAAACAATTTATGATATCGTGATTAGGAGTGACACCTTAAAAGTGTAATTAAATTTATTTACGATTCTATGATGAATGACTTATTAAGATCAGTATTCTGGGAAAATGTACTTTGTCAGTGTTGGAGGCTATGCTTATGTCAGGTTTTACAGTTCTTTAGAAAACTGTTTTATAGATGCCATTAGTATATGTTCAACTGTTAAACTTAATAGAGTGTTGTTGGAGCATTATCCACATAGGGTTTTATTCTCAAGTCTGAAGCACAGTACATTATATATCATTGCCTAGTCGGACTATATCATGAGATCAAATTTCTGATGGAAAGAAATTAACATTAAAATTGATATTCAAGTGATGACTGGAGTTGAATTAAAATGGAAATGCTTTGTCTTCAAAAAGGTTACTAAGGTTAGGTTTTTTAGGTTTGGCTCAAAATACTCCATAAAATTAATAAAGTGCAATAATGTACTCATTGATAGCAAAGATCTTCCCATCATTTAGGGAACAGCATTGAATACTGGCCCCAAAATTCTGTTTGATGAGAACTATGAACACAGAAGAAAATTAGGAAAAACATGTTCCTTTAAAAGTATATTTGGATTAGAGAAACAGTTCATTTTTAACAAATAATGCTGGCAACGTAGAAAAATCTGTTACTAGCATTTAATAAAACATGAAGAAAAGTAATTTAAAAAGCTTAAGGCAGAACTCCCAGAAATTTATTTTAGGACAGTAAGATGCTATTATAGGGCACAATGCATTATTGTGATAAAATGCTAAATTTTTATTCAGGACATATTTATTCAATTTTTAAATCTTCATACTGTTCAGATTACTTTGGCCAAGCATCCTCTCCTCTGCATGATTTGGTTATCTATAAAATTAAGCTACTTAAAATATTTCAACTTAATATTATTGCTATTTGTTTATTGGATTATCAATGTCTTACATGCATGTAATTTAAAGAGTTTTACAAAACCTGTTTGAAAATCATCTTTCCTACCATTTTGCCATCTTCCAAGGAAAACATTTCCAATTCTTTGTGTTGTTCCTTGTAATAATCGCTTGTCTTTAAGTTTTATGCTTGAATAGCTAGTTTTTAAATTTTGTAAAATATATATAGCATAAATCTTTTTTTTAAAGATTTATTTATTTGTGCATACAGAATTGGGGTACAGGCAAGAGGCTCAGGGGCTGCGAGAGGCTTCACCAGAGACAGAGAGGGGAGTAGAACAGGCAGATCTACGAAGTACACTGCTGAGGGGAGCAGCGGGCGGGTCAGGAGAGATCTGCCTCGCCATGTGGTCACCTCGGGGGCAGGCGGGAATAGAACTCATGCGGAAGAGGCTTTTGCTTCTCAGTGCTGTGCCTTAACCCACTGCGCCACCAGGAAGGGCCAGCATAAATCATTTAACCACACTGTTCAGTGGAATTAAATACATTCCTATTGTGAACTGTAATCACCATTTATCTACATAATTTTTTCATTATCTGAAACTGAAACTTTATACCCATTTAAACAATATTTTCCCTAGCTCTCAGATCCTGGTAACTTCTAGCCTGCTTTTTGTCTCTATGTATTTGATTACTCTAGGTACTTTATGAACATGGAATCATACAATATTTGTCTTTTTGTGTCTGACCTATTTCACTGAGCATAATGTCATCAAGTTTCATCCATGTTGCAGCTTGTCAGAATTCTGTTATTTTTTAAAGCTGAATAATATTCCATGATATATGTATATATGTATTCTCAGACACACACTACATTTTGTTTCTTCTTTTATATGTTGATGAATATTTGGGTTGCTTCTATCTTTTGGTTACTTTGAATGAACTGCTATGAATATGGATGTACAAATATCTATTTGAGTTCTGCTTTTAATTCTTTTGGATATATATATATACTTAGAATTGGAATTGGTGGCTTCCATAATAACTCTTAACTTTTTGAGGAACTCTTAAAGGATGGGGAGAGGAGCACCCTAGAGCCCCCAAACCTGCCTGCTCTAAATAGGTTCTGCATCCGACACAGCAAGACAAACATATAAGACCTTTAATGGAAGGAACTTTAATACAATTAGTGTGCAATACAGAAAAAATAAAGAATATAGTTTCTAAATCCAACATCTGAAGTTACCCATCCCTCGTGGGTAAAAGTCTATTCAAAAGGGACTGGCCCAAGGCAAGGCCTGAAAGCTGCCACAAATCTAAAGCACCTTCTGGTGGGCACCCATAGAAAAGGGTCAGAAATGGCCAGAAAAGTCTGGGAGAAAAAAAGCAAAATTAAAATCAAGCTAAACGCTGCCATAGTGAACCTCCCCATGAGTCTCTCACTCACATCTGTTTCAACCAGCTCAACCAAGAAACAAGAGCCGCTTTTCACATGTCTCTGCTCCATTTACTTCCCTCAGGTCACCTTCTGGCTCTCCATCCTGCTTGCTTCCTCAATCTCCTCTCTATCCTCTTCCTTTCTCAGCTCCACCCTCTTTTTGGGTGGGGCAGGGAACCTGGACCCTCTCCTTTTCCTGGGGACCACCCTGTTACATTACCAATGTACATTCTAAATGATCCATATGACTGCTATGGTGAAAGAAAAGTGAAAGTTTAAAATTTGTAGGTGAAAAAGTTTATCCAAATAACATTGCCAGAACAAACACAGTGTTTCTAACTAACATCCAGCAACTAATCTGAGGCAACACACTAGAAATTAAATAATTAAATCTTGACTCTTAATAGTAATGCACAGCAGACATTCATAACATAGGCAATGAAATACTTAATGCATCAAAGGGGTCGCACACAGACTGGGCAGAGTCTGTTTCTGTGCCAGGGCCCTTGAATGTCGAGGGTTTCTGGAATAACTAAATTCTTCACAAACCCTTAAACATTACTTTTTCCTAAGAAAACACCGAAAGGCAACCTCTACATTTATCTTTTCTCCCTACTGTGCATATTGCCACAGAGATTCCACATATTTCAGGTTTAATTTCATTTTGAGGATTTTCTAATGGAACGACCCTGTGGAAAAAGTAGAAACTATTAAATCCCTGTCACCAGATCACTGAATGGCTTGGGCTTTCTGATACTGTCAGTACATGTAATAACGAAGGTGTATTCAACCGTCTCCCAGGAGACTTAAGTCAGTTGGGCTTCATTTTATTTTGCTATCCCACCAAAAGAGCAATAACTTATCCAACAGACAAGGAAAAACTTGTAAGGTCCTTTGAACTTCAGTATGGCCTCCTTAGGGACGAAGTGGAGACAATGGCTTTCATAGCCTAGTTCCTGAAGAAGTTTTGTTTGTTTTATTCTCCGTCCAAAAGTTTTGCTTATTTTATTCTCAGTCCACAATTTCTCCAAAAGGTCCTAGCCTCAAGCACACGCTTTCCTGTTAGCCGAGTTTGTCTGGGGATGGGAGGGGAGTGCGGAGGGTGCGGTCCTCTTCCCACTCCGGTACCCCTCCTGCAGAGGGGTGTAGGGGTTCACCCAGTTAAGGAAAGCCCCTTCAGATCCTGACCCAGGGTGTGCAGCGGACCTGCGCGTCAGGAACTCCTTTAGAAAGAAGCACCCGCTTACCAAACATGCTTCTCATACTTGCACCTGAGGGCGTTACGGGTCTCTCACCCACACCTGTGTTACCCAGTCCAGGGCCAGGAAGTAAGCCCAGTTTCTTCACTTGTCTCCGCTCCCGGTGCCTTCCTCAGGTCTCCTTCTAGCTCTCCATCCTGCTTCCTTCTTTCTTCCTCCTCTCCTCCCTGCTCAGCTCCACCCTCCTCCTGGATGGGGCAGGGAACCTGGAACTTCCCCTTTTCCTGGGGACCCCCCTGTTACCAGGGCACCTCCCGACACAGCTCTACCCTGCGGGTCTCCCTCACCCCCACTAAGTTTAAGTCTTGTATTATTTTAAGAACGAGTATAAATGCGTACGCCTCATGTCTTCAACATAGGTTAGCCCTAATAATTAGTTCAAGGCAAAAGCAGAAACTCCCATTCTCCCGCCTTCACGCGGCTTTCTCTCTTCTAGCTCCGCGCAGGGCAGCGCCCAGCTCCCCCTCCCAGGTACGCGGTGGGGCGGGGCGCACTTCGGGGGTCTGGCCCGCAGGCGCTCGGGTCGGAGAGGTGGGGCCAGAAGTGGGTCCGCCCCGGACCCCGCCCTGCGGCCCCTTGGCGGGTGTGAGCCGAGCTCGCTGCGTCCCTTAGGGCCGTGAGTCCGCTGCCGGCGGGGTGTCATGTCCCAAGTTTCCCGGGCCCACAGCTCCCCCGGGGTGTGCCCGGTGGGGGCAAGGGGAAGGCTGCGGCGAGCAGCCTGGATCCTGGCGCACGTCTGTGGACTGACCTTGTACATGAAAAGGTAACAGCCGCCCAGATGCCCGCCCGCGGCTGCCAGGGCCGCCCCCCCAGCGCCGCTGTCTGGGCGTGCGGGGTCGAGTTTGCTGGGATGCCTTGGACAGGGAAAGTCTGCCTTCCCTTTCTTGGGAACCGTTTCTAGGCACCTCTGGCCCATCTTACTTTCTTCAGCGAACTGTAAGAAATGTCAGTTTGGCTGCCAAAAGTAGGAGCTGGAGTCGGAGAGTCAATTGTCTATATTTATAATCTGTGAGAAGGCAAGAATCAGAGCCTAAATCACTAGTAGCAGTAAATGTGACTTTTTGGGAACTGTGGTTTGAGGGATTCTCTTGTTTTATGGGCTAGGGCACAGGTGAAAGAGAATGGTTTTGTTTTGATTTGGTTTCTGAATATGAGCTAGATGAAGAATCCATCTAACGAGGGTCTTCCACATAATTACACACCTGTCATCCCCACTCTTCCAAAACGAACGTGAACAAGGTCACCCTTGTTTTATTTTGAACTTGGGGGAAATGTCAGATAAAATGGATGACATGGCATCTTTAAATTACCCTTAAGTAATGTTGGGGCAAAGATCTCAAACCTGGATTTTGTTCACCTGTACAGCACTAGAGCAATGAGGTCCCCTGTAGAGGCACAGTAACGGGAACAACACAATCATAATATTTGTTGAGCATTTACTACATGCTAGGCGTGTGTCTAAGTGAATTGCATGTGTTATTTAATATAAAGTGGTATTCTCAGCGCTTTATTGTCTTAGTTTTGTCAAACATATGAAGTACCTGCTCTCGCTAGTGCCATCGTGCAAATAAAGAAGCCAACACAGAGTTTTGTGACTGTATGTGGCTAATATTACATAGCTAGCGAACTGTGATGTGTTAATTCCAACACAGCAGTCTAGCCTGTCACAAGGACCCTGGAGCTCCATGCAGTCCCCTTTTACCAGAAGTAGATGCTCTCAGCCTGACTGCTGTGACTATAGACCATTTATTAACAGTGCACAACTACACCTCTCAAGAACTGCCGTGGCTGTGGGAAGCTGCCCGCCCACTGAGAGACTCTCAGGTATGCTCTGTAGCTAAAGGATGACAAGTATGGTGTCGTTCGAGTGCCACACCTCTCTGTGAGATCAGGCTGGGGTGGAAGGCAGCTGACTACACATCCTGGCCTTCCCTCTACTCTTTCTTTGTTCTAATGTTTTTTTATAGCTGTCAACAGAGAGCCTCAGATCACTTGCACATTCTAATCTCAGGCTCAGCATCTATGAAACCCACCTAAGTTAGCTATTCTGCTATATTGGGTGGTAAAGTTGTGAGAGTTTAAATTTTTTTTTAAGATTTATTTATTTGTGCATACAGAACTGGGGTATAGGCCAGAGGCTCAGGGGCAGCGAGAGGCTTCACCAGAGACAGAGAGGGGAGCAGAACAGGAAGATCGACGAAGCACACTGCTGAGGGGAGCAGCAGGCGGGCCAGGAGAGGTCTGCCACGCCATGTGGTCACCTCCGGGGCAGGCGGGAATCGAACTCTTGTGGAAGTGGCTTTAGCTTCTCAGTGCTGTGCTTTAACCCGCTGCGCCACCAGGGAGGGCCCGAGAGTTTAATTTTTTTATTTACTTTACTTGTTCTTTACTCACTGGAGATATTTCTATGAAATGACAGCCCACTGGTTTCAAACATACAGCAGTTGACTTTCTCTTCTGATTAACATGATGAATTTTATACACAAGCTATTCTGCTAAAATACTGCTTTACTGGTATAATGGAAGTGATAGAATGACTTTTCTAGATGCAGTTTAGCCAAGAAAACCCTTTTCCTACTAGAAATACAGATAGCCAGAGTGGGTAATAGTCAAGAATTTGTTCATTGATTTCTTGATTGATGAAACTGTTGATGAGAAGGAAAGACACTATTTTATTTTTAGTAGTTCAGTGGAAGTTTAATAGTGATAGTGGAAGTGTACATGTTGATACATAGATATACATGCATATATCTATATATCCACACATACATACATAGATGTATATATATACATATATACACAGATATATATTCATTAGCTATCATTATTGTAAAAATAATGACCTTCACGCTTTCAAGTTTTCTCTGCTTCTGGGTCAAGTTTTCTCTTGACTGAGGCAGTCACTGATCTGTATTTTGTTATAGTAATTTGAGTTTGAAATAGCTTTTGGAGATCCTGAGCCCCAGTCACTGCGCGGTGAAGCCAGCCTGAGCACCAGACCTGCAGGACTCTCCAGGGAGAAGAGCATGGAGGGAAAGTCAAGTGGTTCAGACCAGGCTGCCATCTGCTTGTCAAAAAGGAGATGGATTCTAATGACAAGTTTGGCAACAAAGGCATAATTTCCAAAGTGTGTGGTAAATTCAGGCATAATTTCCAAAGTGTGTGGTAAATTCAGGTGAAATTTAGACACATTTTGGCAGTGGCTACTCTGAGGTTTTGTTAGAGATTACAAGATACCCTAAGGAAGTGACTGATCCTTGAAAAATGTAACTGAAGTTAAAACACTACAAACAAAACTCATCATCAAAACCCAGAATTTCAACATTGGTATTTGGAAAAGGACTCTTCTACAGGGCAGTTGACTTACATCCTTCAAAGTCTTTGGTTTCCTTAGTTCTTTTGCTTACTCCTAGCTGTGGAGACACCTTTCCATTTTAACACTTTGGCTCAAATTTGTGACCTTGTAGTTAAGCTCAGAGGTTAGTTGTCCTAACCTGAAGGCTCTATTAAAAGCAATAGAAAGCACTTCAGAACCATTGTTCTAGATAATCTGGCATTTAAAACATACTCTTTTTTTTGTTGTTGTTATGGTTCTGCTCAATTTATGCACTGCTTCCCTTTGTTATGGTTCTGCTCAATTTATGCTCTGCTTCCCTTGTCTGGAAAGCTCCTTCATGGACTCCTCGAAGTCCAGGCCAAGCACAGTTCACAACACTTCCTGAGTTCCTATCTTCCTCTCACTACTTTGAAATTTTCTAGAGGATTCTTAGAGCAAAACTGATGGTTTTATTACTTAGATATTGATCTCACTGGTTTAGCTCTCAGTGATCTAGGCCTACCCCTAACTACTAGAAGTAAAAGTCAAGTCAGAAACATGAGGCACATATTTAATTTTACATTTCTGGTGGGTACATTAAAATGAGGCGGGGGGGGGGGAACGACAAAAAGGTGAATTTTTTTTTCATGTTTTCAATCCAGTATCTAAAATATGATCATTTCAATAATTGATCTCTATAAAAATCTATTCTAAGTCTTTGAAATTCAGTAGGGATTTTACACTCACAGGGCATGTCAGTTTTTACTAGCTATATTTATATATTGGACCAGGTAAGTCTAGATATAGTATCATGGCCAGAATCCAAAATTAAGTAAGTGTTCTGCAGAGAAGCAAGGAAAAATATGAGCTATTTTTTTGGACACACTGACTTTGGACTATTACTAAGTATTCCTTCTTATAGTGATAGGCTTTTAGGAATACAGTTCTAGAGCAGCAAGCTAGAGCTTCTTCAACTTCATTTCTCAGAGCCATGTATAAGCATATCAGTGGTACTTGCCAGTTTTACCTTGTGTTTTGAATCCATACCTTAATTTCCTCCTTAACTTGCATATTAAATTGTGTATATTCAATTCTAGTCACTTAAACTCCATTATTAACTTGTTTTTTTTTTTGCATATTATTATCAAGTAGATACTTATGTGTATTTTTCTGTATTTTTCTGTATTTTATCATCTCTCCTTCAGGTACATTGAAAAAAGTCGAGCAAAAGAATGGGCATTATTTTATTTGAACGTAAAAAGTCATTCAGCAAATGAACTTTTATTCAGCCTGAGCAATTATTCTAAATATAACTTGGTTAGTATTTTATATCTGCCTCTATCAATAATTAATGTTACCTAATTTTAGAGGATAGCAAAATCTACAATTTCTTTTTTTGTATTATAAAAGTAATAGGTAACAAATAATGGTTCTTATCATTTCAATCCAGTATCTCTAAAGATCTCCAGTATTCACATCCCAAGCATGGGATGGTTGTGAAGAGTAAATTGATAATAAAATTGGATATCAAATGGAGGTCAAACTTATTCATGTTGATGTCTAAAACCTAGAATAGAAGGTTGAAGAGACTGTATTGAGATCAATTCGACCAAAATGAGTTGTACTTTACATTATAGCATAGATCTCAGTCAGTGACACTCTTTACTGAATTCCTTACATAAAAAGGAAATATATAACTAATATTGACACTCTTGTATAGTGTCTGGTGAGTTGACATGAGATTAAGTTACATCCATGGGTGACTCAGACTCATCACTCAAGAGACCGTATCATATCATATAGACAAATATCAAATCTGTGGTAATAGCCCTGTTAAACTTGTCTAAACAAGGCCTCCCTGGCGGCAAAAGGGTAAGACGGCACTATGAAGTTATTTCTAGCCACTATAGCATGAGTTTGATCCCTGGCCAGGGAGCTGACCCACATGGTGCAGCAGACCTCTCTTGTCTCACCTGCTGCTCCCCTCAGCAGTGTGTTTCAGTAGATCTGCCTGTTCTGCTCCCCACTCTGTCTCTGGTGGATCTTCTCACCCTCCAATGCCTCTGGTCTATACCCCAGCTCTTATGTGCATAAATAAGTAAAACAAATGTTTAAAAAAATTGTTTAAACATAACATGACCAGTGAAGCCCATGCTTGGAGATTCATTGTTATAAAGAACAATTTTTAAATTATTTTGATGAAGTTTATGTGCAAAGTTAAAAGTCAAATATTACATAATAGTCTGTATTCCCCAGACTATAGATTCTTTCCAATTTTTTTTTAAAGATTTATTTATTTGTGCATACAGAACTGGGGTACAGGCCAGAGGCTCAGGGGCAGCGAGAGGCTTCACCAAAGAGAGAGTGGGGAGCAGAACAGGCAGATCGATGAAGTCCACTGCTGAGGGGAGCAGCGGGCGGGTCAGGAGAGGTCTGCCACACCGTGTGGTCACCTCCGGGGCAGGCGGGAATTGAACTTATATGGAAGTGGCTTTAGATTCTCAGTGCTGTGCTTTAACCCGCTGCGCCACCAGGGAGGGCCATCTTTCCAATTTTTTAAGAAAGTGTTTTGTTCATGGAACTAGCAGGGTGCATTCAATGTGAATACATTTATTTTGTAGAGTAAAAATTTTGAAAAGCTGAAAACATTGTTGTTGATTCATCCTAAGCAAAGAAGCCAAGAAAATCTCAGTGAAGTAAGTAAAAATGTTTTTCCCCCGATATATGATTATTCAGTGTATCAGTTATATTTTTCTCCCATCATTTCATTCCATGTCAAGTTATTTTTTTTACATTCTTATTCTCTCTATTTTTGTCTTAGTTTTAGGGTTTTTAGAAAACAAAATTGGGTTAAATAAAGTTAGTCGGAATAGTTATAGTTTCTTTTGGTGTAGCAGTCCTTTTCTTGTATTTATTTCATATATTGATTAAAGAAATATAAGCCATTGAGTTCCTACTCTGGGTTATATTTGTTTGATGTATGTATTTAAGATAAATAATTGATTTTTCATATAAGTTGATTTATTTAAGCCTATTAAGATGTTTTCTGTAATTTTAATTTACTAATCTTTGAACAGACTTCAGCAGTCCATTATGTAGAAATGGATTTCTGTCTCCAAAAGATTAGGTAGACCTTTTCTGCTTCTATTACTATTTTAATATACTTAGGTAAATTGGATTTGTTGCTTTTCAGCCTCTAAAGGATGTTTTATAAACCAGCTATAAAGTAAAAAGAGCTATTGATTTTTCAACATTTTAAGATATAAAGCATTTCAGAGTATCTTAAAAAATAAAGTGCTGTATTACAAGTATTCACCGTTCTGGCATCGGACAACTCTGAAAGTCATTGTTTTCTGTGCTTATTATGACTTGGGCTTGAATCCACCTATATCATTGAAGCCAGGGGGTATCCAACATTATTAAATATTGTACCAGTATAGGTTCTTATTGCAATGAGCAGACATTCTTGTATGGGTTGTTCGCTCTCAACTAAACAGTGAATTTGCAGCATGAAAAGAAGTAGTGTAAATAAGTGTGATTTAATTTAAACTTGTCTTCTCATAGTATCTGTTTTACGTGGAGAATTGCATTACCTCAATCACTTTGTTCAGGTAGTATCTGCTAGCATTCTTTCATGTAAAGTTACCATTTTCCTCTTTCCATACTCTGTCCCATAGAGGTCAATTTCTACGTCTAGCCCACTAAAGTTATTAAGTCACCTAGTCCAGGGTAATTAAGGTCCACCTCCTGGAAAAGAAGAGTATTTAAGAAAACTGTAGACATATGTTAAAATCACAATTTTAAAATGTCACAATTATTAAAAAATATTAATAAGTATTTGGCGAGAGATACTTTGAGGTGGCATGGATATCTTATTTCTCTTTAAGGTTTTAGTTTTAGCATTCATCCTTGAATCTCACCTGCAAAAAGTATTACTTTGGTACTCTCATGGGGATGTTCTATTTTTTTGTTCTTTCTGTGTCTGATAATTCTTCTGAAGGAGAATTGTTTCTTTTCATTCATTTAATTATGCATTTATATCAGTGTGGTCTTATAGATATTTAAGAAGTTTGATTCTTTTTATTTATCCAATGATATTTAGAAACCAAAATCTACCTTGTACTATACTTGTTACTACTGGAAAGTCCTTACTTCTACACCCTCAGAACTAGCAAAAGTTTGTGTTTATATTCATTCCTGTATGTGTCCCTAGCTCTCTGTCTGTATCTAGCAAAATAAGTATTGGTGCATACTGATATTGCTAACGCAAGCAATTTATCACTGGTTTTAGTTTAGCATATCCCTTTTGTTTATTTGTAACTTCTTTCTACTAGTTACATATTTGTCTGTCATTATTGGCATATTTTCTTGTTTGCTCAGTTCTATTTTGTATTTGGAAAAGTTGCAGAATTATTTACCTGCTAACCTATGAGATGGATATTTACCAATAAGTGTACAGTGTT